TGGGAACCTTTCTCTTGAGAACAACCTACGGGTCTTCGTGGGAAATACTTTTCACGACCTTAGTTATGGTATTGTTCTGATGCTAGCGCTGATGACTTGGCATTTAATGCTTCATCTTCTGAAGTATCGCAGGGCTTAATTAATCTCTTGAGACAACCTCATGATAATGGAGTGAGGAGAATACTTCAAGGTTGATACCACAGCATTGTGTGAAACGGCCATTGCACGTCCTATAGTACTACGTATTCAGACTATTTGAGTAGAAAGATATGTAATGAATGTGTTCAGTTAAAACTAAGATTAGTACAATGACGAATTATCGAGTTTGCATGAGATAAAAGTTAATCCGAAATATGTAGAAATAGTGAAGCGGCTACACTGGCTGTAAATATATATATGACTACAAAATATGTTGAACATACAAACCCACTCACAATATACTGTCTACCAGTCGCATCAGTAAAGTTATTATAAACACGACATGTTGAATACACTAAACAATATGATACACCTTTATTCTGATGCATTAACTCCTATATCAGTGGTTATTGGAGGTGGTGACAGTGACAGACGTAAATAACCGGATAGATTTCTAGTAGTTGAACACCTATTTAAGAAACTTACATAATCTGATGGGCTGTGGGTGGACGGCATAGGCGGTCCCATGGGCCGTGGCGAGGTAGACGTTGACCACCATTGATTCTCCTTCACCGCGCACCATTCACCACATCAACATTTAACACTCACCACAACACTCACATCTCACCAAAATACCCAAGCTCTATTTGCTCTACGCCTTAATGGCAGATGCTGCTTTCCATTAGGCGGAGGGATTCGATGGTCACCCCACCTCGTGACATTCCAACGCTACTATCATACCCTGACACAAGAAGCCCCAGTAGCACCAATAACACATCACAGGTGAATGTAGACCGACCCTAGCACGGTTCTACAATGAAAAACTTAGTGCTGACCCATGGGACAGTGGATCAGGGAGGTTCTATTTGTGGCTAGGAGAATAAATTGCAAGGATTTGCAAAGGCCAGGCACGATCCACAAGCCCAAACTTGACAGGACGCCAGCGTGCGAATAAGACGGGTCTTTGTTGCTTATTAGGAGGTACTGTCGGGGCAGGTGAAGTATTTAGAACATCACGTAGACTCTTGACAACAGAATGGTAGGCGAAAAACCATCCGTGGTTGTGTTCTCGTTGTAAAGAAATACTAGTTGTCAGGCTAGTCCTGTTGGTCAGGCGAGTTGAACAGTTGGGGGGGGGGGGGGGGGAA